TCTGCGCCTTTGCACTGGCACTTCTCTGTTTGGGATGCTCTTTACTCAAACATTTGCATGCCTCCTCCCTCACCTCTGTCAGTCAACTTGTCAGTGAGAACTTTCTGGCTTCATATTTAAATTATCAGTTCCAAGAGGACCACTATTTCACCCCTTCCCTGATTCATATTTCACCATAACACGTCACCATCTGATACAGTATGTACTTTATTTATTTGTTTTAATAGTCTCCTCCAACCAGGATGTATATTTTCTGGGGATAGGGATTTTGTTCTGTCTTCATTCACTGGTGTGTCCTCAGAGCATAGAGCAGTGCCTGGCACATAGCAAACACTCAATAAATATTTGTGGAATAAATGAATGAATGAAAGAACAAATGAACGAACCAAGAAAGCAAGCAAGCAAGCAGTATTTTTTATCCAGGGAATCTTTATTCTAGACATTAGTAGCTAGAAAATCAGATTATCTGAAAGTCGCTAAATGAACCTGAAAGCAGAGCCAGGCAGATTAGATAATCTTAGTGTTTTCATCAGGCTGCCTTTTGGCACCTGAAGGGCAAACCCCATGTAGCCAGCTACCCCCCAGCCTCAGTGTCCCTCTCCCTAGATAGGGACAGCCATATCACTGACCTTAAGTTTACCTGATTTCATGCTTTTAAGCCTGGCTATGGCTTAGAAGCCACTCTTTGTATGGGTGATTTCGAATGCATCTTCTCTTGCCAATCACGTGTTGATTTTATTAGCATGAAAACTTAAAACTTTAGAGCCACCTCTCATCCTCACTAACAATCTCTTATAATGAGGAGTTTAGGAGCAGAAATTGGCGCCCCCTTATTCAGAACCTAAGACATCAGATAAAACGATTTGCTTAGACTCACAGTGTTACAGCTGGTGTGGGAATCTTGCATTCTGTTATTCGTAGGAGACTAATGATCCTGCTGGACTGTCTATCTCTTTCCTTTCTATTATTTATCATCTCTCCCTTTAAACATGTGTATATATTAGTCTTACAAATGTGAATGACACGGGATAAGAATGACCTTTTCCAAAATAATAATGGCAGACTAAAATCATTTTTAGCACTTCCTGTATGCTGATATCAACTGAAAATAAGGAATTATCATGTGGTTGCCAACATTTTACATAAGTGTAAATAAAGTGCACAGACAACAATGCATTGGCAAGTTGACACAGTAACAGAATTACATAAAGTCATGTGGATGGAGACTTCCT